TTTTTGCTCCAATTTGTGTCAAGGTACTTTGCTTTCATGTAGACTTCCTTCCATTTACAAGTAGTCACGAGTTGAGGCCAGTCTGAGCCGGTTACAGCCGCATCGACTGGGAATGTAGGCACGCCTCCTTCACCCGTCTCCTGCTCTTGTGAAGTAGGTTTAAAGGGAACCTCTTTGCAAAGATCTGGTTCTGTACCATAGCGCTCCCATCCTTTTTCTTGACATAGAGGGCGACACAGGGCATCTTGATTGGCTGCTTCTCTCCAGGATCGGCTACATAATGTCACGTGACAGAGATCCGCGACTGTCAGGTCCTTCAATATAAACTCCCGGACTTCACATGGCAGACTGGTAAAGTAATCGTTGGACAACGAAGATGCCATTGTAGCTGGGAACGAAAAAAAGTAAAACAACCGTTGAGCCGATTTCAGAATAAACTGAAAAAAGAAAGAAATATTCATCGCTGTCGATGTTGGTCCAAGTTTAAAGCTTGTGATGTGTACAGTTCAACCTCGTTTCCATGAATTCGATCTTGATGTGCCATGCTGTTATCGTTTACTTAACCCCGGGCATTGTGTCCCACTATTTGGAATATTTGAATTAGGAACGCAGTCTCGAGAAGCAGTTTTTGTAATATTTAAGGTTTAGGTTTTGAGGGTTTTTTTGCGTTTCTTCTGTTTTTTTTTTTTTTTTTTTTTTTTTTTTTTTTTTTTTTTGGGGGGGGGGGGGTAGGTGGGGGTACCCAAACCGTTTACGCATTGAGCAATTTGGAAACAAAGTCATGCTCGTACAATATGTGACGTGAAGGGGATAACGCGCAAGCGCATTACGCAATCTTTTAATGGTCGAGCGGTCTTCAAAATGCACGCAAATAATAAGCGTTGTTTATGCACTCCTCACGGCCAGTGGTTAGTGAAGGAAAGTGCACGCACCCACGGATTTGAGGCTGGGACAGGTTAGTCCTCAGCCTCGTCCCCATGGTGTCGAGCAGTACGCGCCCCAACTACCTGCTCTCTCATCCTGGTATTGGATCATTTGCATGTGCAAGATGTTTGAACACCGTCCCGAATGCAAATAAGGAAAAGTCTGGTGCCTGCATGTGCGTTACATTAGCGGTTTTTTTATGCGGTGTATTGGGTAAACCTGTAATTACCTATACCTGGCGTCATCAGGCAGCAAATTAAAAGCGATATTCCTTGAAAGAGGACCATTTTCTGTAACCCTAAAGGAGCAGGTTTATTTTGGCCATCTCACAGCCCTTAGATCTCAACCATCTTGTGACCAAAAATTATGAAACTGGGTGCATGCATAGAGCAACTTAACATGAACATACCTAAACAAATTCATGACTATGGGATAAAGGATTTAGAAATATGGCTTATTAATTATTCATATGCAACAATGTTAATTGTGCTTTGTGTAAACTACATTTATGTGGAAATTCGCTTTTCACAAAAATTGTTTGGCTGCGAGGCAACCCATGGTCGGATCTTTATGTTGAGGCAGGAGTGCGGCAGTTCGTCTAAACGCCGGTTTTCTGCCGAATGTAACTCGGCAATTCAAGATGGCGAATCAAGAGAAGAAACGTGATTCTGCAACAAATTCCTTCTGCTAGAGGAAACCACTCTACTTCAGCAATCCATTCTTTTTGAGGCCATCTTAAGGAGAGTTTTATTTGTTTGCTCGGTAGTTCTGTACTACTTCTGGCTCGAGAAAAACTGACAATATCCAGATATTGTCGGCGTTTAGCAAAAAAATACCGGATGGCTGGATTTGCTGCTTAATGCGCATTCAGAAACAAAAAAATACAAAATGCGCTTCGCCTATCCAAGGCAACCTTCGAATTCATACTTTTACAAAATAAACATGACTTGGAGCAAAACACTGTGACAGGAATCCCAATTTCTCCGAGGCATAGGTTGGGGTTTTGTCTGTATAGACTGGCTAGAAGATATTATAATTTCACTGTTGCTGAAATGACTGATGTAGGTGCGTCTACTCTCCCAGCCATTGATGCAGAAATGTGTGAATCCATCATCAGAAAAATGTGGGACATATGGGTCGCTCAATTGTTTCCCCCAAATAGGCGTGCTATTTGCATGCCCGTTTTAAAACGGGATCATTGCGTTTCTGAATGGGGACGTGCAATTTGAATTCGACACGGCAGACATTCGACGTTCAGATTTCTGTCGCTCTTCTGCCGAACTTTAAAACAGGAGTGCGGCGCAGTTGCTGCAAACATCGAATTTTGCAGTGACAACAGTTTACAACACATATAGCAAGCTACGACGTGTCTTTTGGTCATCGCAAAATACGATGCATCCAGTTTTATGCCATTACCATTTAATAAACAACACATTAATACCGATACATTGTGTGTGAAATTGCAAATTGACTATAACATTGAATTAAATATGAATTTATACGAGTAAAGTGCAGTGGAAAACTGAGGAGTGTGGAGGGTAAATGGCGTCCAGTGCTATAAACCAGGACTTATATGTTGCAAGATTGAGATACTCGTATTCCCACAATCAGCCGTTTTACTGCATATCTTCATTGACCTTTAATCCTTACGTCGAGATGCACGCGCGTAGATAACACATTACAGATATTTGCCCGTTTGCATATTAACAGCAACCAACAGGCTAGTCAGGTTGAAAATAAACATTAAAAACACTCAGGATTTCAACTTTGTCGCTGGCGGTGAAACACGCTGCTTCAAGTAAGAGCGGTACAATCGGTATCCAGCCTCGAAATCAATTATTAAACCAAGTGAGTACATAAAAAGGGTAACCACAGAAAATACATACACAAAAAAAGACAGATAACCTTGTGTGAATCAAATTGCAGAAATGTTCTCAATCTATTTTGTTTGGCACCTAAGGACTGAGTTAACTTGGGACCGAGTTGACCTCGACCGAGTTGGATTCGAGTCAACTCGGTCCCAATACATGTCAGTTCAACTCATTACCAAGTCAACTCGGTACCTGGTTAACTCGGTCTCAGGTCCACTTGGTCCCAAGTCAACTCGGTTCCACATCAACCTGCTAGGGGGAAAATGTTCTAGCAAGGCACTAGGAGCGAAAATCAAACTGCATCATGTTAGGGGCCGTGCCATGGAAGGGCCCTGTCACACTTCTGCGTATCCTAATTTCTTATGAGTTGCGCATTGACATTTTTTTTCATACGCAGTCGTACGCACAATACTAACTTCATATGCATCTCTATCGTTTAGTGTAAGTTTTATGTACGCAGGCATACGCATGGTACGGCCCAGTACGCTGGATATTTTTAGGCATGCACAAAACTACGCTGCGTACGCTGTTACGCAGGTCATAAGTTATAAATACGCAGCGCATCGGTCCCGCATCGGTCGAGCACGGTTCGAGTACGCTATGTGTTCGTGGGGGATAAGCGGTTCATACGCAGTAATACGCTGACCTCCCGGCACGCACCCCGTCAGCATGATGAGCCGCCTATCCGGTTCGTTAGTGTGACGTCATCTCAATTCAACCATGTGTAACTCACACGGTGTAGCATAGCACGAATGGAACCGGAAGTTAAAGCAACTCGAGCGTTTATCCAATGGGCACTAGTTATCAGTGGTGCGCGTGCGTGCATGACGTTTTCACTAACGAACAGGATATTGGACGTATACATAGCGTACTTGCATACCGACCTATTCGCAGCCCGAAAAATAATGTTGTCCACTGCATACGCAATTCATACGAATCTCATACGCAATGGATGCGCTGAATTCGTTACTTGTACGCTAGATGTGCGTCGCACATCGACGTTTTGAGCGTACGGCTGCGTATTGAAAATTTTTGATCAGGAACTCATAAGGAATTAGGATACGCGAAAGTGTGACAGGGGCTTTAGGGGTACATCAACAATACGCATTGATGTGGTTACGTCATACACTGCTGAGGCCACGCCATGCCGAGGTTACGCGTTCCACACAAGCCTGGCCTGATAATTTTAAATTTTTAATTGAATATCAATTATACCCCTTTTTAATGCAATATAAGCTTAACACGAAGCTGTTAATACAAATGAAAGCAGAAATACAACGGCCCAACACTAGCATCAAAAGTACAAATATGGATAATTTTTGCATAACGTTTTCCTAGCAGCAAATTATAATAACCATTTAAAGATATCTGCGTATATACGGCTAATTTCCAGTACATAATTGTTACATAGTTCCAAAATAAGATATAACCTGCCACCAAATTCAAACAAACAGTTCCGATTTCTCTTGTAGTGAAACATTTTCAAAAATATACAATAAACTTCATTTTCAAAAATATACAATAAACTTTGCCGTTAAAAGCAGGCTTAAACAAGTCAAGTAATATATGGTAAACATGAAATATGCAAGTTCCATGTAATTAAATTTAGATTTTTACTTCTTTTTCTTTTACTCTTTCAAACAAGCATTGAGGAGAGTCAATGCTACGTTTCTCCCTATATAGCAACAATTCAATCAAAATGAATGAAATATGTCGAAACTACAGATTCAGTAGATTTAGGTATTTGAGAAACATTGCATCTCCATTTTACCACGACACATAGCGAAATCTTGTTGAAATCTCCTCCTTCCAAATTTTTGTTTCTATACTTTTTGACTTCCAACCTCTTGTTATTTGGTTTGACAATTGAGAAAAGAATTCACCTTTGCAGATATGTAACCAATTGCAAACTAAACTAAAGTTGGTAAGTAGGGAGCAGAATATAAAGGGAAACAATAATTTTGTTCGCGGCGGTTTTGAATTCAGCATTTCGAGAAAATGACGACAATTCCTTAAAACATCAGTAGGCGCAAGGATTTCACAAAAGCACTGATCCCTGTATTTACATACATTAAATGATATATCATGTCGGTTAAATGTTTGCAATTGCTGTCAAATACCTTAAAAAAAAAACGGAACGGAACAATGACTAATAGCGAGCTCAATTTAAAAAAAATATCCATATGGATTGCAAAATAAACCATGCGTTTTTACGCGCTTAAAAATGTTGAAAGATCCGCTTCAGCCATGGTTTACATTCTCTTCAGCTTCGATGTTTACTGCTTTTTTGTTAGTTGTCATCAAACTCTGGGCGAATCATCATGTGCATGTATTCCTCAGTCTTCGGTAGCATTCGCATGTACGTCTACAGAGAGAGAATACGTTCACCATAATATGTGTTGAAATCAATGTCTTATTTTGGACCTTGCGAAAATGTGATAAACACTGACCCCCACCCACCCCCCCCCCCCTCCAAACTTAATACCTAATAAAACGGGAAATGGGTCATTTGGGAGACATTCCCATAGACTTGTGCACAACATTTTTCAAACTTCATTGTGCCCTAACCCAATTCCCTTGTCTTTTTTTCCCACGAATTTCAATAGGTTTATTATTCAACACTCACTTGCTCATTTGGGTTGTCAGCCATACTGGTCAGACGAGTCACTAGTTGATTGAAACTAGGCCGTTTGGCCGGGTCTACCTGCCAGCACATCAACATCAGGTTGTAGCTGCAAAACAACATGTTTGTTTGTCATTTACAAACGACAGTGTAGCTACTACACAGAGTAGTTTTGTATTTTGAATTGTTTACAAACGACATTATAGCTACTTCACACATTAAAATTTAATTTTAATTGTAACAAAAATGATGTGAGAGTGACGTGAACTTTGTTTAGGAACTATAGGACAGGAACTATATGACCTAACCACATACTGACAGAAAACAAGGTAAGCTCAATATCAGTTTCAAACAAGTGAACTAGTTAAGTTAAGTTGAGATGATACCAAAACAAATAAGTATTGATGCATGGACTATTAGATATGAAAGCATGTGTATATGTTTAAACCTAATAATGAACACATCTTACATTTCATCATCACAGTTGCTTGGTTTGGCCATCCGATATCCAATCTCCAACCTCGACATCAGGTCCTTAGTTGTTATGTTTTCATAAGGAGTGGCACCTTGAAGGAACATTATTCAACGAAACAAATAATAGTGAGAGAGCATGTAGGCCTACAGCGCACTACTGCGTGAATTGTTAACTGAGAAATATTGTCTTTAGGGAGTACACATAGCACGGGAGATTCTTCCTTCATTAACAACGCCATACATTACCTAGGGTCGCAATTTCCCAGAGAAGGATTCCAAAGGACCATCTAAAAGATGAAATGATAATAATAATTAAACGTCATGATGTGTGACTTGTTTGATGTAAATGAAATTGTTTGCAGAGTCGTAGCAAGGTCATTCTTAGAAGGGAGGGGGTAGAATGAACAAATTGCACTCGGCTTATCCGTGCAGACGATCGTGCGCACTATTTGAAAATAGGTAGCGTTTGCATGTGAGCAGAATTGCCGAAGTTTGTGCGACGTTTTAAAACGGATTACGTGTCGGTTATGCGAAGTACCAATGGTCCGAAGTACCATTGGTCCGAAGTCACATTGGATTGACGTCCCCTTGGTCCGAAGTACCATTGGTCCGAAGTCACATTGGACCGACGTCCCCTTGGTCCGAAGTCCCATTGATCAGAAGTCCTATTGGTCCAAAGTCCCATTGGTCCTACGAAACAAAATACTGTGTAGTTCCACTGGTTCAGGTTGATTGACCCTAACCCTAACTATAATCCAATGGACCGTCGAACCAATGGGACTTCGGTTCGGACCAATGGGAAGTCGGACCAATGAGAAGTCGGACCAATGGGACGTCGGACCAATAGGAGGTTTGCACCAATAGGACCTATATAGCAATGGGCTGTCAGACCAATGGGACGTCGGACTAGAGAGACTCCCATTAATAAGGGGCGCTCGTTAAAAAGGGATACGATCTTACTTACACGTCACTCTTGGATGTGTAGGCATTATAAGTCAACGACTCTGGCGACAGCCAGCGAGTAGGAACACGAGTCTACGAAGAAAATATAGAATATACTTTCACTTGAGAACAAAAGACTAGGTCCAACTTAAAAGCATTATTTCAACAGTCTCGAAAGTTGCTGTAAATGATAACTGCGCAAGTACAGACCAATAAATCTATTCTCTGTCGAAAAGCCAAACAAACTAACAACTATTGTGGAATTTCGTTTACCTGTGATGTCTGCACGTAGATATCTTCCCCTCGCGATAAACCAAAATCAGAAACCTTGGCAACCAGTTGATTGTCAAGAAGGATGTTTCTTGCCGCCAAATCACGATGAATCACCTGCGACAACCAAACATGTTTTAATAATAAATGGTTGTACAGAAACAGTCTCTATTAGAAACAGCATGTTGATGGTATTTGTTTTGTAGTACTTGTGTATTTAAACATTAATCGACCTTTCCCTGTGGCATGGTTTGGATTCCCAAAAAATGAATTTCATTTGATATCCCAGTTGATATCCCTATGATATACGAGTTACCCCACCCATTTCATGTCTAAAACTAAAATTTCTGCGTCTTCAGTTTTGCCTTTTAGATGGTTGGCTGCCATGCCTGATCACTTTTGAGGAATACTTGGGTTTTGTTTATACCAACAATCATTATTCAAAAAAAATAAAAAAGGACCACGACTAATACTGACTCTCAATGCAGCCAGGTGCTGCATTCCTTTGGCAACATCGAAAGCAAACTGAATCAGCTTTGCATATGAAGACAGAGATGACTGTCCATCGTCATCCTGGGATCTAGCGTTTCTCAGGTGGGTGCGCAGATCCCCGTTCGGCATGAACTCCAAAGCCACGTACAGAATGTCTGGTGAATCAGGAATGTTTTATCTTGATTAATGTACTCGAGGTCTGTATGTCTGTGACGGGTTCAGGCAAGACTTTTGAGAAAGTTGGAAAGGTTCAAAACTATCATTAACGGCCAGTGTTGTATTGAAAATGACAGTATGTATTGTTTGAACATTGTGACATGCAATCATGTGTTCGGATCGTCAGACCGAATAATTTGACTCGGGGAATGGTACCATTACCATATTTTAACCAAGTAACATTTCGTTTTAAATTTACCATGTAAACACTTAAAATACTTGGCACATTAACACTCAAATTTTCTACCAATTTCACTTACCATCATGTTGACAAGCACCAAGAATACTGACCACGTTCGGGTGCCGTCCAATTTTGGTCAGAATTCTGAATTCATCCATGAAATTCTGTCGATCATTTTTCGACTCGTAAGCTGTGAAAAATGTTAAAATAAACAAAACTTTAGCAATAAAAGTAACCGACAGATTAGGCTCCTAGTCGGTATTGTTTGAGATATCAAAAGATGAACACTCCACGTACCCTTCAGTGTCTTTATAGCAGCCTTGAAATCTTCTCCTTCAACCTTCACTGCTCCGTAACGAACTTCACCGAAATTTCCCTTGCCCAAAACCATGTCGCCGATCATCATATTCCTAAATGGGATATGCCAGCTCTGTGCCCAAGACGGCAGACCTTCATCCTCACAGGTTGGTGATGACATATTGACTGCAACTACTTCCAATGATGATGTGCAATCACGAGCAACTTTGTCATAGTCTGATACCTCATGTGGAGATATCCGACTCTCATAGTCCAATACCCCGTCAGGAGATATCTGATTCTCAAAACTGATCTATGAAAAGCAGACATCAAATACATCGACAACGTAAGTACAACTTAGGTGATTTTAAACCTAAATGGGCCGGGTTATTTTGACCACCTCTCAGCCGTGGGGGGGGGGGGGGGGGGGGGGGGGGCAGATTCCCCCTTTGATCTCGGCCATCGATGATGAACAATTGTAAAGCTCGGTACATAGAGCAACTCTTCATGAACATACCCAAGAGATTTCATGACTAGAGGTCAAAGGGTTTTGGAATTATGGCTAATTAATTATTCATATGAATTGCAATTCTGGTCTGTATACACGACGTATATGGGAAAACAAATCAGTTTTTCGTGGGGCGTAGCGCCGGAAAAACTTTCGCTGCGCGACAACCCCTCTGCTGATTTTGTTATGTTTTTGTTGTCAAAAGATGCGCAAGGCTTGAGGCTAAAAAGTCATAAAAGCTTGGGTCGCCATTTTTTTTTTTTAATTAAGGCTATCGAGGAAAAAGAGGCCGAGGGGGAGGGGGGGGGGCGCCCCCGGCACCTTTAGGGTTAAATCAGAGTGTGCCAACTTCAACATTACAAATGAGTTATTACTGTGTTGTGGAGGGTAATGAATTAATATGGATGTGTGAAATTGAAAGATAAGAATGCATGTTGTGTAGGACATGCGTGAGTCAATGCTCAAACATTTCTCATAATCATGATTGATTACACCCACCAGTTCTAGCTCTCCTGCTGGTTGACTTCTACCTTTTAGATGACGCAGAAAAAATATTGCCACAATAACAGCCAGGATAATCAAGATAATGACGACAGTAAGGACTGGGATAAGAACTGTCCTGCTATCAGTTCCTGCTGATAAAAAAAATCACAATATTAATATTATGATTCAATTGATGGTAATTTTGAAAAGGCCTAATACTTCCCTTCAAGGGCTAATTTGCTCTACTTCAAACACCACGGAATGGTGCGATGTATTTCAAGCAGCACAAACGCGCACATTGTTTTACCTTCGGTCTTGGTAATCGGAAGTGTAGCTACGGGTGCTAGGCTCCTTGCAGGTGCTGTTGTTTCCGTCAACTCTGTGGATGGTGCAGCTGATTCAATGGCTGAAAAAAACGACAAAAATTCTAAAAATATCATAGAGGCTTGATAAACGTGAGTATACATTTAATATACATTTAACGTCATTTCCGATTTAAAAATAAATAATGTTGTGCTGGAATATCGTCAAGTCATATTCGAACGTTGAGTTTTCGAGGTGCCAAACCAGAAAAAAAAAAACACAAAAAAAAAAAAAAAAACACGTATACACCATCTGTACAATTAGATAATTTAGATGGAACTCGGTTTTATCTAGGCCTATACAACGTCGTATCTATCGTTCTCACTACAGAGGAGAGGAGGGGACAGCCAGTGGGCTGGGGGTTGGGTATTGGGTGGCATATTTATGTTACACCTGTTAATAGTCACTTATATTTCCCGGGAAGTGGGCAACAAATCTATTCGAGATGGTGGAGGGGGTGTTTCTTATGTACTTAGTAGAAGTTAAATGTCGTCATAGCAGTTGATGTTAATTATGGTGATGGGGTTGTAGAGCAAAGTATTGTAACACGTTTATTTGCAGAAGAGAGTAAAACTAAAAGAAAGGACACATTGGAGCACTTCATAAGTATGTCAAGCACCACATATTAAATGTATTTGTTACAAAACTGTGAAAATGAAATCAGGTATACCCGATTTATTTGAGTAATAATGTGTTTGCATTACAGGGCAATACTTTAATACAACTCAGCCTCAGGGGAAATAATTGTGGTCAATGTTCAAACACCATGGAATCATGTGATGCCTTTCAAGCAGCACAAACGCGCACATTGTTTTACCTTCGGTCCTAGTAATCGGTCGTGTAGTTACTGGTGCTAGGCTCTTTACAAGTGCTGTTGTTTCTGTCAATTCCGTGGATGGTGCAGCTGATTCAATGGCTGAAGAAAACCCAAAATTCTTTAAAAAAATATATCATTGTGACAACACTTTAAAGTAGAAACACAATCTTACAATCCAAGTTTCATTGCTAGAGATTAGCGTTGATTGGGTTACAAATGCTGGGTGTTTGGCAGACAATTATGTTAGTGCCAAACATTTCCAAATGAAGTTTTGAAGACATTGAAGACATCTCTTGCTCAATTGCCAGCAATCAGCATGGCAGGCGAGCTTCTACGGGGGGGGGGGGGGGGCCTAGGGGGCCTTTAGCCCCCAAACCCCAAAATGTTGTCTAGCCCCCCCCCCCCAACAAAAAAAAATGCCGTAAAAAAAAATGCATTGACAAAAAGAAGGATGGATTGTAATGTACATGCGAACAGTCTCCTTCTAAAAAAATAGTCGTGACAAGGGTGCATTAGTTAATATAGTGTGAATGATTTTAGGATTTTATTAGGGCTCCCTATTGAAAATTTGGCATGAGCCCGCCCCCCCCCCCCCTATTTATTTTCGGAGACCTAAGTGTCTGGAACAAATAACGGGTATACATTTCAGCACGCCTCCCTGAAAAAAAATCTGGATCCACCCTGCTAGCCCCCCCCCCCCCCAAAAAAAAAAAAAAAAAAAAAAAAAAAATATTGGTTCTAGCACTGCGCCTGCAGCATGGGAGTATTAAGTGTCTCAACTACCCAGTGTTTGATTAAACTTCGATGTGTTCTATAACGGTACTGATAAAGCTAACTCAGTCGGCACGCTGGTGGTGACGGACTTCTCCAAGGCTATTGACTGCGTCGACCATACTTTGGCAATCCAGAAGTTGTATGACCTTGGTGTGAGGAGTGAAATAATCCCCTGATTCTGCAACGTCTTCAAATATCGGCGGCAGAGAGTACAATATCACTTTGCACTATATGAATGGCAGACCCTTTCAAGCGGGGTGCCGCAGGGCACTAAGCTTGGCCCCACCATTTGTATTGCTCTTGTCAATGATGCTGTTGAGAATGCGATCTCCCACAGCTTCAAATAAGTTAACGATTTAAGCCTTGCAGAGGTCCATAACGATGAACGCAACAACAGAGTTGTGATTTGGAACATTTGTATTTTTAATTTTCATTTTTGTATTACTATCAATAATTATTATCTGACCTAAATATTGTTCTTTCATTCAACCTTCGGCCACCCATTCATTTTGGAAACAAAACTCAGGAAAACGGCTCCCTAAACGGCACGTCATGCATATTTTGAAAAATGAAACCAATTCAGACAATCCTGGCCAAATCTCGCTGGGCCCCCAACCCCCAACCTCCACTCAATTGTTTCTCTCATTGCGCAGTATGTGCTCGATCCGCTGAAGAAAACAACATTGCCCGGGGAGCAGGGGAGTTGGTGACCATGGGAGGCAAAGGGTATTTCCAAGTGTCCAAACCATTTTGGCCGGGATTGTAGGCTGTCTTAAGTGCCATTGTAAGTATAACAAATTATATATCCTCTCCAGTAATTATATTTTTACCTGTAGGCTCGGAGCACTCCACCCCGGCATCTTCGGAGTGCCTACAGTTGTGGTTCCCTACCCCAAGATGCGAGCAGTGAAATATGGAACTCTCTTGCCCCGTGCATTCCACATCGTCCATCTGTATCGGTCCCACTCCATAGCCGTACGCGGCCCTCGGCACCGCCGTCACGGCCACTCCGAAGCCCAGCTCACGGCAGATCACGTTGGCGTCGTTCAGGCCCCAATTGTCGTCGCACACGGTGCCCCACTCGCCGTTAACGTAGATCTCCACTCGGCCTTCGTAGATGGACCCTCCGTTCCGCAGACGAACTGCCGGGTAGGCAACGAATATCAATTGGCATTGAGCAACCCCAAAAAGGGTATGCGTATTTTTCGTAGAAGATAGTAAATTCAGTAGCAATGGCAAACTTTTTTTAAAGATGTTCTCATCTTGAAGCTTGCAATCCCTGTCATATTGTAGTTAAACTGCTTTTACAGGGACACAATTGTTTTTCTTTTTCAAGAAAAGTGTCAGGATGTCCCGCCATTTTTTTTCCCTGTTGTTATGTTATAATTATGGTCGACTAGCTGTTGTTCATAAAAATAGAAACTATTAATACAGACAAATAAAGTGAATAAAAACAGAAAAGTGACCTGGATATTATTTGTCTCTTAATTTTTTGAGTGTGTATCAGAGAAGGGAGGGAAGGGGCTTCGACTCCTAAAAACCCATTTGATGTGTCCTTGTCTGTGCAGAGCAAACTAATACCTCCTATGTTTGACATGAGTGCTGGCAGCCGTGATAAGCCACTTGTTTCAAAACCTCGTGGAAACACATCCTACGCTGTGTCTCAAGTACCGTATATCCCTAGGTCATTGTGAGTATAACAAATTATATATTCTCTCAAGTAATTTGACCTCTACCTCTAGGCACTGAGCACTCAACCCCAGCATCTTCCGAGTGTCCACAGTTGTCCCGCTGTACCCAAGCATGAGAACAGAGAAAGATGGAACTCTCTTGCCCCGTGCATTCCACATCGTCCATCTGTATCGGTCCCTGTCCAGGTCCGTACTTTGCGTCCGAGGCCGCCGTTACGGCAGCTCCGAAGCGCAGCTGACGGCAGACCACGTTGGCTTCGTTCAGGTCCCAACTGTGGTCGCACACGGTGACCCACTGGCCGTCAGTGTAGACCTCTACTCGGCCTTCGTAGACGGACCCTCCGTCCCGTAGACGAACTGCCGAATAGGCGACGGATATTAATTGGCAATAAACACCCCCCCAAAAAAAAAAAAAATGTCTTCGTATTCGACTGCGTAGAACATAATAAAATTTGATAGCATTGGCATAGTAGTTTTTTTTTCCAAAATGGATGTTCCTCGAAGCTTGCAATCCATGCCATACACTGTCCTTTACAATACTGTTTTTACTGGAAAACAAACTTCCCTTTTTCGAATTTGTTATCTTTTTAAAGATAACAGTGCCAGAAATATTGATGTTACGGAATCGTTTCCCATTAATTTCCTAGGGACAGCAGGCGTATAGGTCGAGTAGGATATTTGTAATCGGAAGGCGGGGCTATAAAAAAAAACGGCAGGACATTATTTCCGGCATTTTCGCAGAACTTGTTAGACATTTTGTGGAATATTTGGTCGACTAGCTGTTCTTTACAAAAAAGAAGAGAAAATATTTTGTAAGGTAATAATACAGATATACAACAAAGTGTGTGTGTGTGTGGGGGGGGGGGGGATCGATCCCTAAAACCCCCATCTGTATCTGTGCGTGTGTAGAGAAAGTTACTACATCCATCGTTTGACATATTGGCATTAAAAAATATTGGCAGTCGTGATGTGAGACTGTTTTACCACCTCAAGCACTCATTGCATCCTAGGCTGGGTCTCAAGTGTTATACTTCCCTAGGCCCTTGTGAGTGTAACACATTATACATTCTTTCAGGTAATTCTATGTTTACCTGACGTAGGCTCGGAGCACTCCACTCCAGCATCTTCCGAGTGTTCACAGTTGTGGTCCTCTGCCCCACGATGCGAGCAGCGAAAGATGGAACTCTCTTGCCCAGTGCATTCCACATTGTCCATCTGTATCGGTCCCTGTCCAGGCCCATACTTTGCCTCCGAGGCCACCCTTAGGGCCACTCCGAAGCCCAGCTCACGGCAGATCACGTTGGCGTCGTTCAGATCCCAAAGGTCGTCGCACACCGTGCCCCACTCCCCGTTAACGTAGACCTCCACTCGGCCTTCGTAGATGGACCCTCCGTCCCGTAGACGAACTGCCAGATTGGTATTAAACGGATATAAATTGGCAATATTCAACAAAGAAAACGACTTTTGTGTAGTTTTTGTAGCATTTGCATGGTAACTTTTTTTCCAAGATGGTCCCTTTTTGAAGCTTGCGATCTATGCCATACTGTTGTTATGCTGCCTTTCAGGAAAACAAACCCCGATTTTCGAATTGCTTATCTTTTGTTTAAAAAGAGCCAGATATAACGTTGTCGTGCAGTCGTTTCTCGCTTAATTTCCAAAGGCAGGCATTGGTATAGGTCGCGTATGATCTTTGTAATCGGAAGGCGGCGCTATGAAAAAGGCGAGACACTTTTCCCACATTTTTGCAGTACTTGTTTGGCAATTATGTTGAATATTTGTTCAACTAGATGTTGTTAAAAAAAATAGAAACTATTTTGTAAGGTAATAATACAGACAAATAAAGTGAATAAAAACAGAAAAGTGACCTGGATATTATTTGTCCCTTAATTTTTTGAGTGTGTGTCAGAGAAGGGAGGGAAGGGGCTTCGACTCCTAAAAACCCATTTGATGTGTCATTGTCTGTGCAGAGAAAACTAATACCGCCTTCGTTTGACATGAGTGCTGGCAGCCGTGATAAGCCACTTGTTTCAAAACCTCGTGGAAACACATCCTACGCTGTGTCTCAAGTACCGTATATCCCTAGGTCATTGTGAGTATAACAAATTATATATTCTTTCAAGTAATTTGATATTTACCTCTAGGCACTGAGCACTCAACCCCAGCATCTTCCGAGTGTCCACAGTTGTCCCGCTGTACCCAAGCATGAGAACAGAGAAAGATGGAACTCTCTTGCCCCGTGCATTCCACATCGTCCATCTGTATCGGTCCCTGTCCAGGTCCGTACGTTGCGTCCGAGGCCACCGTTACGGCAGCTCCGAAGCGCAGCTGACGGCAGACCACGTTGGCTTCGTTCAGGTCCCAACTGTGGTCGCACACGGTGACCCACTGGCCGTCAGTGTAGACCTCTACTCGGCCTTCGTAGACGGACCCTCCGTCCCGTAGACGAACTGCCGAATAGGCGACGGATATTAATTGGCAATAAACACCCCCCCAAAAAAAAAAAAAAAAAAAAATATATCTTCGTATTCGACTGCGTAGAACATAATAAAATTTGATAGCATTGGCATAGTAGTTTTTTTTTCCAAAATGGATGTTCCTCGAAGCTTGCAATCCATGCCATACACTGTCCTTTACAATACTGTTTTTACTGGAAAACAAACTTCCCTTTTTCGAATTTGTTATCTTTTTAAAGATAACAGTGCCAGAAATATTGAGGTTACGGAATCGTTTCCCATTAATTTCCTAGGGACAGCAGGCGTATAGGTCGAGTAGGATATTTGTAATCGGAAGGCGGGGCTATAAAAAAACGGCAGGACATTATTTCCCGCATTTTCGCAGAACTTGTTGGACATTTTGTGGAATATTTGGTCGACTAGCTGTTCTTTACAAAAAAGAAGAGAAAATATTTTGTAAGGTAATAATACACCCATTCTGGAATTTGTATTCCTGTGGAGACATTTCTTTGTTCTCGTGTAGTAAAGTTTTCGAGTGTGAAATTGAAGTTTCAAAATGCTCTTATTTTAACCAGAATTAATTTCCTGTGCTGAAATTTGGACTAAATATCCCTTTTCTAAAACTCTTCCATTTGCGACAAATCAACCTACCTTGGAAATTCCTAGTTTTTGAGTAAAATCCATATATCTATTTCGTGAAATTCTTGTGGAGACGTATTCATCTATAGAAATGTTCTTCTGGAGACGTATACAATCTTTTGTTCCCTATTGTGTTCATGTCTCCGTAAGGTAGTAAATTCCAGCACAGATATACAACAAAGTGGGTGTGTGTGTGTGTGGGGGGGGGGGGGTGTCGATCCCTAAAACCCCCATCTGTATCTGTGCGTGTGTAGAGAAAGTTACTACATCCATCGTTTGACATAAAATTATTGGCATTAAAAAAATATTGGCAGTCGTGATGTGAGACTGTTTTACCACCTCAAGCACTCATTGCATCCTAGTCTGGGTCTCAAGTGTTATACTTCCCTAGGCCATTGTGAGTGTAACACATTATACATTCTTTCAGGTAATTCTATGTTTACCTGACGTAGGCTCGGAGCACTCCACTCCGGCATCTTCCGAGTGTTCACAGTTGTGGTCCTCTGCCCCACGATGCGAGCAGCGAAAGATGGAACTCTCTGGCCCAGTGCATTCCACATTGTCCATCTGTATCGGTCCCTGTCCAGGCCCATACTTTGCCTCCGAGGCCACCCTTAGGGCCACTCCGAAGCCCAGCTCACGGCAGATCACGTTGGCGTCGTTCAGGTCCCAAAGGTCGTCGCACACGGTGCCCCACTCCCCGTTAACGTAGACCTCCACTCGGCCTTCGTAGATGGACCCTCCGTCCCGTAGACGAACTGCCAGATTGGTATTAAACGGATATAAATTGGCAATGTTCAACAAAGAAAACGACGTCTGCGTAGTTTTTGTAGCATTTGCATGGTAACTTTTTTCCAAGATGGTCCCTTTTTGAAGCTTGCGATCTATGCCATACTGTTGTTATACTGCCTTTCAGGAAAACAAACCCCGATTTTCGAATTGCTTATCTTTTGTTTAAAAAGAGCCAGATATAGCGTTGTCGTGCAGTCGTTTCTCGCTTAATTTCCAAAGGCAGGCATTGGTATAGGTCGCGTAGGATCTTTGTAATCAGAAGGCGGCGCTATGAAAAGGGCAAGACACTTTTCCCACATTTTTGCAGTACTTGTTGGGCAATTATGTTGAATATTTGTTCAACTAGATGTTGTTCAAAAAAAAAAAAATATTTTGTAAGGTAATAATACAGATATACAATAAAGTGAGTCAAAAAAGAAAGTGACCCAGGTTAATAATTTCCCCTTAACAATTAATTTGAATTTGCGGAAAAGCCTTTCTTTTTGTTCTGATTTTGTATTTCGTCTTGCCCGACCACTTCCACTTTTGTCGTTCGTATTTATTTGCATACATCCTTTAAAGTGACCATAGACAAAGTCCACATAGCTGGTACCGTCTTTCGATAGGGGCTCTGTTCAAAACTGGCAATTACGCACACAAACGGCTAATATATGGTGCTTTTCAGGCACCAAAAACGGCAGATTCCACAAAAAGGGCACCACTTCTTTGTTCTTTTTTTATATGGTACTTTTTCAGAAAAAAGGGCACTTTGTAAAAAAAAGGCACTCTTTACAAATTATTGGGGGGGGGGGGTTAAGCCCGTTGCAAAAAAAGCATTTGAATGGAAAAAGGCAGTCTTTACAAAATATTGGGGGTAAATACCCCCCTTATCCCCCCCCCCCCCCCGCCCACGGCTACGCTTATATGGACCGAACGAACTACAGACTGAATGAACGAACGAACAAGCAAGAGTCTTAACGACCCTAGCCTCCGAATCATAAAAATGCAGGATTTCACCTAGAGATGGCGAGTCAGTTGTTAGATCGTCACGGGGATATTCAGTTGTGCCAGCTTGTGTGTACTCGTCCGTTGATGGCGACATAAGAGCGGCAGTCGTTGATGATTCTAGATGGATTGATGGGGCAAGTGAAACAGTATAAATCATTTGGACACCTCAATGACTTGCTTGCATTGTAATTCTGTACAACCAGACACTGCAATTATTTGCATTAAAAAAAAAAACACTTAATGAGGAATATTGCAATTTTGCTTATTAAATAAAGTGATTCTTCAAAACATGAGCATATCCAACTAGAATATTCTTCATGCTTAAACGACATGACACGGTTTTGCAATCTTATTTACAATCAGGTAATATAAACTACACTGCACGTCTTCATTTATCCTGCAAACGAACACGAATATGTCATAGTAATATATTGAATGTTATAATTGATCAAGAATAATTGCATTTTCGCTTTGGCTCTCGTAGCCGACTTTGGTAGGGGCAATGGACAGGCCTGATGTCTTTTTATACCTCACTGACCAACTGTCTGATCCATTGACTGACAGACAAACCAACCAAGAAACCGAACAGTAACGACCAATCGAATTATTGAAATTCAAGTGCAGCGTTTCACCTTGAGTTGGCGAGTTGGTTGTCGTTAGATCGTCACGGGAGTATTCAGTAGTGACAGCTTGTGTATGGTCGTCCATTGATGGGGACGTAAGAGCGGCAGTCGTTGGTGTTTCTAGATGGAGTGATGGAGAAAGTGAAAAAAATATGTAATTATTAGCGTATCAGTGTCCTTTTCTATACTCTACTGACCGATTGAACGACCGATTAACCGACCAACTGAACAACCGAACGATAGACTGACCGACCGACCAAGGGACCGAACGACCCTCCGAATCAAAGAAAAAAAGTGCAACATTTCACCTTGAGTTGGCGAGTCAGTTGTAAGATCATCGCGGGGGTATTCAGTAGTGCCAGCTTGTTTATGGTCGTCCATTGATGGGGACATGAGAGCGGAAGTCGTTGGTGTTTCTAGGTGGAGTGATGGCGAAAGTGAAAAAGAAGTAATCATTAACGTGTAAGTGTCCTCTTCTTTACTCGACCGACTGATTGACCGAACAACCGACCGAACTACCGACACAGTGGCGTAGCCACCGGGGGGGGGGGGGGGGGGTGGCGACCGCCCCCCATGAAACCTTGTCGCCCCCCCCCCCAGTCGCCCCCCCCCCCAACTGAGATTTTGAGTTTCTAGAAAAATTGTCATTGATCTACATGACGCAATGGGCCCTATTATGTACTACAATGTATCTTTTGCTTAGAAAATATTGGTTAAAGTGGTCAGAAATTGCCTCAGATAGCACCACAGAGCATTTAGAATCCAAAATTGTTCGGGGCCTTCAAGCGGGCCCAGAACCCCACGCATATAGCTCAGAATTCTGGTAGCTGATTCAATGACTCCAACCTCGAAAACAATGTTCACAAAATTTTCTTATGCCTTTAGCTGAGAAAACCTCGAAAATTATCGTTTAAATTATTATCTTTTGTGCTAAGATAATTATTGGTTAGAGTGGTAAAAAATTGCCTCAGATCACACCACAGAGCATCGAAAATCCAATTTTATTTTTTTTCGGGGCCCTTAACCCTAAAGGGGCCGGGGGGGGGGGGGGCGGAATCCGCCCCCCCCTCAACATTTTCCGCGATAGCTTCTAAAAAAAAATTTCGCGACCCGAGCTGTTATGACTTTTTAGCCTCGAGCTTTGCGCATCTTTTGATACCAAAAACATAAAAATCGGACCACGGGTTGGTACGTAGCGAAAAATTTTCCCGCTGAATTTTCGCATATACGTCGTGTACACCGAGCATAATTGCCATTCATACATATGAATAATTAACTAGCCTTAATTCCAAAACCCTTTGACCTATAGTCATGAAATTTCTTGGGCATGTTTAGGAAGAGTTGCTCTATGCATGTGCTGAGTTTCCAACATTTTCGTCACTCGATGGCCGAGATCTTAAGGGGGGGGGGGAATCCGCCCCCCCCCGGCTAAGTGATGTGGTCAAAATAACTTTAGGGTTAAGCGGGCCCCGAACCCCACGCCAATAGCTCAGAATACCGATAGCTGATTCAATGTCTCCAACCTCGAAAACGATGTTCAAATAATTATCTTTTGCCGAGAAAATATTAGTTAAAGGGAATATACATCATTTGCTTTTGCTGTAATTTTCAGAAATGGTTGGAATTGGGGGGTTGGAAATATAAAGCAAATATAGTTACACTGACTTTTTGGAGGTTTTGGGTTCAAAAATGCTATAAAAACCAAGAAAAACGATCATTTTCCTGTAGTCTGGTTCCCTGACTCTATATAAGAAGAAACAGAGCAGTTTACATACATTGGGGAATTGTAAGGTTAGGGAACCAGTCTAGCTGGCTCGTACCCGTTCATAGGTTTGTAATCGATTGTAAACAAGTGCGATGGTCAATTGGGGCCAGTATTTGAAAAAAAGCCAGTTGTTTCCAACGCTGATCGGCCGATCAGCGTTGGAAATTGATACAAAAATAACACTTTTCTTGAAAATGACAGTATACCAGGTGCCATAATTTTACAGGATGCTTTAGACTGTCATTTACCAACATCCTATTAAGGTATTTCGCAAAAACTTGGTAGTTTTATTTTTCGATGTTTGCAAATGTTGTATATTCCCTTTAAAGCATGGAGGAAAGTCGTAAAAAATTGCTTCAAATCACACCACAGAACATCTAGAATCCAATTTTTTTCGGGGCCCTTAAGCGGGCCCCGAACCCCACGCTGTAAGGGCTTCGCGCTTCGCGCTTGCATCAGTTATGATCAAGGTATGTCCCCCCCACACACTTTTGAGAAGCGATTGACGCCCCTACTTAACGCCCCCCCCCCATGAAATGTTCCAGCCCCCCCCCCCCCCCACTGAAAAATTCCTGGCTACGCCACTGTACCGACAGAAGGACAGACCGACCGAGAGACCGAGGTCACCGAACGACCAACGATTCATAAATATTCAAATGCAAGATTTCACCTTGAATTGGCGAGTCTGTTGCTTCATTGCCACGGGGGTATTTAGTAGTGCCAGCTTGTGTGAGGTAGTCCGTTGATGGGGACATAAAAGCGGCAGTCGTTGGTGATTCTAGATGGAGTGATTGAAAAAGTGAAACCGGTTACATCAATTGACAACATTGTAAAATGTGTAATGTTTTATGAGGCATATCAATAACTTGCTTATATTATATTTTGGATCAAACAGACACTGATTGGATTGGATGGTCTGGGTAGCAACCCAATTATGGACCGGGTGGAAACATAGTAGATTGGTCGGACTAGTTGGATCACTAATAATTGGAAACAGGAAACTACTTTGACTACTGTACTGGTCCAGTTAAGCCAGGATAATGGAAGTTCTAAGACAAACTGCAGCCAAGAAATAGGCTAAAAAATATGTTTCTACCACAATTTCTTGTCTTTAGACAAATCTATGGCTTATTTGTATTTGTTTTATTTGATACTGTCAGAGTCGAGACAGTAAACCCTCTCCAAGACTAGAAAAGGTATAAGGTAAGTTATAGCCATGGTCAGTGAAGTGTTGGTATTTTGATTGGTATGCTTGAATGAGTGCTTTGCGTCAGGTCCATATGTGCGAGGGGATAGAAATGCGCGTCATTTTTGAATCAGTCAGCTTGGTTCTTGGTTCTTGGTTCTTGGTTGGTTCATCTCCTAAATACTCCGCGTGGGAGTTTGTACAGGAAACCCCCAACATCGGGCCTAACCCCTTCTCCTAGCGAAAAGCATCATTTGTCGGAGTAGCATGGTGCAGGCCAGTAAATAGGCCAAAAATTGCCTATGCGAGCCAAATCACAATTATCTAATGCCTCAACTTGTTTTGCTATTAGAGGATGTTGTGGGCCACGAACTTGAGGGTTTGAAAAAAAAAGTAAGAAATGGGTGGAAGCCGTGCACAGGACTGCCAGCTCGTATTTCTGTAAAATTCGGATGAAATTGGTCCCTAAATATGCTATATTTTGTATTGGAGCGCAGACATCTTTTTTTTTTCTTTTTTCAAAATGGCGATAGGCCACTGGACTTTAGGGTTGATCTTCATCTTTGGATGAAATTTTCTTCAGAAACAAATCAATTTGCCCCACAAAGTTAAACAGGAAATGAAGATGATGACATAAGCTTTAATTCGATGGGTGCCAAAAATACCTTGGAGAGTTATGAGTATTTTTTGAAGTGCGCGTAATTACCACTGAGGTCTATGGGAGCCTATAGTTTTGGCCTTTACCCAACGTGTCACGTCCTGCCTAGATCTGCCATCTTGAACACCGAAGTACGTTCAAGAGAAAATCGACATTTGAAGCAACTGCCGAAATTCGGTCACTTTTTGTTTCGACTGCAATGAATTAAACTAGACAAGGCAGAATTTCGACGTTTGGGCCTCAACAAAATATGAAACCCAGCACCAATATTTGTTTAACAAGACTTCCGCTTACCTGCGTTTACTGCACAACAAACGATGACAACCAGAACCGCACAAAGTAACGCAGGGAAAAATGGTTCCGTTTTCCTGGCACTCAGATCCATGATTTATTGTGAACAAGTTCAGAGAGGCACTAAAGTAGATCTCTCGATTCAGTGCTACAGTTACTACTTAGTGTTTTGTCTAAATATTTGTCAACCGTTTACGATCGATCTGAAGTTCCTAACTCATATTTCAACAGGTACCATAATCGAAATGCACTGACTATGTACACTGTTGTGTACGCGACTCCAGCTGCATTGCGTACTATGAGCCAGTCCCGTATATTATACCGAATACTAAAATGGAAGATTTGTATGAGATCACTGATCGTTGACCGTCGTTGTACTTAATGGTCAAAACCCACAAAAAAGAAACGTGAAGCTATACAGAAAAGCCAAGGACACATGTCACTGGTAAATTTAGGTGCCTATCGCAAAACCCTGTGACACAGAGGAACACGGAATACTCGAAAAATTCTCGGTAAATTGGTCTCGTCGTTTGGTAATGCTTGCATGAGTGAAAACACAGAAACAATGAAAAAGAAGCCTAAATAACGTTATCTCTATGAATATTAAGTGGTTGGGCTCCATAGATTATTCTCATACACCATATCACTCAAAAAAATTCAGTGGAAGAACAGGACAGGACGATTATGAGATAAATGAATCACAAAGTCACATCCTTCAAGATATGGCAATATCTTGGAAAGGTGGCATGGTCAACACAGTTGAAAGGTGTGTCGAGATTTATTTACACCAAAGTAGCCTTACAATTTCGTCACTCAATATACAGGGTGAGTCAAAAACGGTGAAAACCAAACCAAAAGAAATATACTTCATATTTAAACAAAATTGTTGCTCAATCCGTTCATATTTTTTTCACCATTTAAACAAAATGACCCTAAAATCAGTTTCGTCCAAAACAAAGCAGTTTACTATGGGTTATGACTGTTTGGAACAACAAAGAAAATGACACAGAATACTACTTTTGACAACAGTTATTACTGTAGTACACAATAATTTTATTAACAACCCTACTTTGGACTTGTAAAATCCACTTTTTTAGAGACAGGCATTCAACATGACTTTGTTGATTTTTTTTTACTTTTAAACTGAGATTTGTTTTATCGCTGGTAATGTTTGCAGACAATAATAGTATCGACAATTATTGAAATTTTTGGACGAAACAGATTTTAGGGTCATTTCGTTTAAATGGTGATATCATTTGAACGGATTGAGCAATTAATTTTTTTTTTTTTTTTCATCAAAAAGTAGTTTATTAAATTGACTTACCAGTCATAATTATTTTTAGTGCTACATATTTTTTTAAAATATGAAATATATTTCTTTGGGATTGGATTCTGGTTAAAGCTACAGTCATTATTTGCAGCTATACAAACACGTAATTTACACAATTATTGTTGAAAAGCATACTTGGTTTATAGATAGTAATGGGACTAAACTCCCTGTGAAATTA